AACCACTGCACCACCAGGGAAGCCCATGTCCTTCCATTTTTTGATGCTACATGTAGCTCTTCTGCTCAGCATCCTGCCTGGAAATCCCCATCACCTTCCAGCACATAGAATATGAGACATTCATGAACAAGTGGGCAGGGTCATTGTTCGTGGTCTTTTTCCTGTGCTGGGTCTCATCACACTACCAGCCTCACATATAGGCTGGCAAAAAATCCATTGGCCTCAAATGCAAGGGCCATGAGAACATAGGGTTCAAATGAGAGTAAGGCTTCATCTACCCAGACACCTCACTATCTAAAATCAGACCAGAACCTGGGGACGAGCCAAGTGACGTCCAAGTGGCCAAAATGATCTGCATAGGCTTATACTGGTTTAGCACATAATTCAAAGCAACTGTCCTCAGAGAACTAGGTGAACTATTACCCTCTAAGAAAGATGGGATGAATCCTATAGGAATAGAAAAGGCTAAATTCCTCGCTCACATTCTGTTTACTTTCTGTTTACACAGAATTGTAATAAGTTTGCATATCTGTTTTCTCAACCCAGAACAAGCTAAAAAAAGTTAGGTCATGAAGTAAAGTGGCATGCTCCCTGATAAAACGTAGACCCAGGAACACCCAAAGCACAGCAATCGTAAGCTGTGCTCGGGATAGAGACAAATGGCCACACATATCTCAAAGGTTTGGGGCCCACTGGAATAACAGCACAGTGACTAAAGTTTATCAAAATTATTCTGAGCATAACAACAATGTTAAATTAAAATCAGCATATTCCATCTTAAAACCTGGGAGGCATGTGAGTGTCTTTTTGTTTTTTAGAAAGGTTTCCATCCAAAATGATTACAGTTTAAATGTAATGTTTCAAAGGGCAAACCTTTAGCTAGCTGGAAAGCTCCACTAACCAGAATAATACGTTGCTTTCTGGATAACTGAAGTTTTATTATAGCTCCATTTAAACTCTCTAGACTTTTTCCTAAAGGGCAGTGGGGCATTTAGTCAGCCGGGGAAATGCTGCTGCCTTGACTTATGTGCTATTGGGAATAAAGCAACAGGGGCTTAAGGAGGTTTTACTGTATTTGGTTTGCAGGCTTCGTTTGGCACCATCTCTTTAAAAGGCTGCCTGCCTTTGAACTAATCCTCTATTTATAATCCAGCTGGAGAAAGGCCTCGGCAATATATACAAATTCCTAGGATTTACAGAGTACTGCTCACGTAGCTCTGAGCCCCCATGCAGAGCCCCTGCCTCGGCCCTCACTCTCCAGAAAGCCTCCTGCCCCCTCGCCAACACATCTCGGTGCCGTGGCCCATGGGCATGCCCAGGAATGCACCCGCCTTCTTGATGGAGAGCACAGGGCTTGTCCAGGGACAAGGGCATGAGCTGGATTAGGCTCGGTAAACACCATCGCTCACTCTTGACGGCCTGCACTGTTCAGACGCCCTTTCCTAAGGGCCTGGGGCTGAGGCTTCGTGCACTGCTCTCCCCTATCAAGCCGTTCTTTTCTTATAACTCATTCACTCCCCAAAACGACACCAACTTCACATTTTCCTTTTCCCCCCTCACACAAATTATTGCAAGTCATGGCAGTCTAAATATAGCCCCCGGTCTCTTTTCCAGATGCTGACGTCTTGACATTTTCCTGATGTCTCTCCAGCTGCCTCTCTGCTCTTGCTTTCCTTTCTCCTTCTTTCTCGCCTTTTTTTCCTCCCTGATACTCCTACCCTCTGCCTCCCAGGCTCCTCTTGTCTTTCCTGCGTCCTCAATTCAAAGGAAAGTTCTAGAAGCAAGGCCTGGAACCTGGCCAGCCCTCTTCCCAGATCTCCAGCAGTGCTAGCAGCGGAGTGGGGATATAATCGAAGGAAGAGGCAGGAAACACAGAGTCCTCTAGGACCCTCAGCAATGAACTCCCAAGAGTCCTTGCCACCCCTTCAGTTACTTGCTCTGTCCAGGGGCCATTTCACCTCCATCCCTCCCCACACCCCTCTGGGCTTCTTCTTGGGTCCTGGGCTCCAAAGAGTGGCTGGTCACTTCCTCCACTTAGGAACCTCCTGTGTTACTGAAGAATAGCCACTAGGACTCACTTCAGCCATCGCTTCCTTGAGGTTAAACAATATAAATTCCTTTGCCTTTCATCACCAGGCCTAGGCATCCAGCGCTTTAATCATTTTCATAGATTCCGTCTGTACCGACTCCAAGTTAGCCGTATCCCGCCAGTAGGATATGAAGCTGGGCCTCGAGTCCTCTGCCCTAATACAGGTTGACCCCTGCTGTGCATGTGTATTGGAGGAATTCACCCGGTACTTCTCAATCACAGGCCTCTGTCTGATTAAAAAAGAGGTGCTACAGTGGAGATGTGTGTTCATGCCGAGCTTGACATCTACACCAATGGTATAATACAGGTTCTTTTCCGCAGTGAAAGCAAATTTTAATACAAGTATGTATTTTATTCCATCCTTTTCAACATACTCGCTCACTATTGGTCAGCTTTCTTCAATTCTAACTATAGAATTCTAACAATTCTAAAGCGACCCACATGCTATAGAGATGGGGATTGTATAATACTATTAGTCAGTCTGTTCATTTACTTGTTAGATACCTCTTTAAGCCAAGCACTGCAGGTAAAAAGATAGAAATAAGAATTCACCTCAAGAGACACACATTCTAGTACAGAGTGGCTCAACCTCAGCACTATTACTATTTGGGGCTGGATAATTCTTTGTTGTGGGCCTGTCCTGTGCATTGTAGGATGTTTAGCAGCATCCCTGGCCTCTACCCTGTAGATCCAGTGACAGTCCTCCCCAAAGTTGTGACAATCAAATACGTCTCCAGACATGGCCAAATGTCCCCTGAAGGCAAAATCACCCCTGGGAGATAGACAAATATGAAATTGATGGTTACAGTTCAGAGAAGGCTTACAATAGAGGACTGTAGGTGGAGTAAGGGCATTTTAGCTGCGTTCTAAAGGATGGATACAAGTTTTCTGGGTAATGACAATATTACGGGGAGGAGATTCCAGGCGGAGGGAATGGCACGTGCGAAGGCATAGGGGCATCAGAAAACAGTTCAGCGTGCCTGGTGTGGCAGGTGCCTGGGGAAGAACAGGTAATGAGGATGAATTGGGGCTGGCCCCAGTTTATAAAGGGCCTTGTGTGGGTAAGATGCTTGCACGTGATCCTAGCGATGAGGGAAAACAAGATTTTTAAGCTGGGGAGCGTTCATGAATGGATGCATTTTTGGCACGATGGGATGGTGAGGGGGAGAAGCTATGGTGGTAGTTCAGGAAGAGATGATGTGAGCTTGAATTAAGGCAGCGGTGCTTTGGAAGTGAAGGAAGAGGCAGGATTTGGGAGCTCTTTCTGAGACAGAACACGCAGGTCTCAGACACAGCAGATGGGGGACAGAGAGAGAGAATAGAGTTGGACGTGACCCTGGTGCTTCAGAGTGGATGGAATCCTTCTGTGTGAGTCTTAGAATCGAGGCCTTTTTTCTAACCTGGAAACACTCTGGAGTTTGCACAGTGCCCGCCTCCCAGGGGAAGAAGCAGCCTTGGAAATACGTTTACATTGGGGAGTGTTTACATTAAGCCTTCTTCCTCGCCTGCCTTTAGACCAGGCTCGTGGGAGGTATCTGGTGGAAAGAACCCAACCTTCAGGAATGGGGTTTAAGGGACCGAGCTTCTTGTTTTGTCACCAGCGGCACCTGGCAGTCAGATGACTCTGAGCCTCAGTTTGTCCATTTGCGATGGAAGGAGAACCCGCCGCCCCTCCCCCTGCCGCACCAGGACGTGGTGAGTGTGAACAGGGCAGCTTCTGTGGGTGGTTCGGACCCCCGTAGGTACTTGGCACTTAATGCTGCAGTTGGCCAGGATCGTGAGTGGCTGTAATCAGGCCTGATGGAAAGGCCCCTGACTCCACCGCGGCCTTGAGCAGTTGCCAGCCCCGTGACCAGCCTGCTTTGACACTTGCCTGCAAATTCTTTTTTTCAGGGTGTCTGCTTCCTGCAAACAGTCTTCCCCAAACCTTCTCGGGCTCCAAGAAGCCCCCCTTTGGCTGTGCCTCCCACTGTCCTTCATGGTCCCCCAGCACAGTGAGAAGCTGAGACAATCCCACTCCATTTGGTTTCATGCAAACCCTCCCGTCCGACTCCCCTCACTGCCTTCCCAGTTAAATTAGAGGGAAAGGAAAGAGTAGCCTGGGATAGAAGGAGCTGAGAGGCTAGCCCAGTTGGCCAGTCATGATGGGCTCAGGCCCGCTATGCAGCACCTCTCCTGGCAGCTACTCTGCAAGGTGGGTGGATGGTGCCGGGAGGGAAATGGTGGGTGTGAGTATGTGTGTGCGTATGAGTGTGTGTGTGTGTGCGCGCTCACTGCCCCTCGCTCCCAGGAGCCCCAGCACTGATGGTGATCTCCCTCAATGCACGAACAAGGGGCTGCATTGTTAGCCTGCCTGTCTCTTGGTTTCTGATTCACCCCGGGCCACTGCAGCCTGAGCAGGTTCGCAGCTGCTCAGGGATATACTTTCCATCACATTTAGGACTTGGAACAGCCCCAGGTTTCAGGAACACATGGTGAGGGGGGAAGGGAGGGGGCTCGAATGGACTCGGAAGGGGGGAAGTGAGCTGCTTCTTTCTTTCTTCAAGACGAAGCTCCATTTTCATCATCTGATAGCAGGAACAGCATCTGAGGACGGCGGATGAATTGCAAACCTGTGCAGGTCGGGGGAGAGGGCAGGCGAGTGGGGGGAGGGGGGCAGATGGATTTCATCCTGGCTGAGGTCTTCTCGTGCAGCCCCGGCCCCTCTGACACGCAGTTCCTGCTCCAGTTACAGGCCCCGCCCAGCCCTGGCCTGCCTGCTGGGAGCCTGTGAGCCTCTCGCCGCACCGGAAGTCAGCCCCCGGGACCGAGCCTCTGACTTCCAACCAACCCCCAAGGCCAAGGGACAGGAGAGGAGCCGGAGGCTGGCCCTCAGATCCAGGGTCCTGGGGGAGCACCAGTGTCAGTGGGCCTGGTTGTACAAATGAGTGGTGTCTCCTCTCTCCGTCCTGGTGTCTTGTTAAGGAGGGAATAGAGACGATGCTGAATAGTGGTGGTACTTTCCCAGCTCCAGCATCAGCTCTTTTTCTCCCAGGCAGTTAACTGTCTCACAGCAGACAGGATCCAGGTGACACTGCTGTCCCTGCATTCAGCCACATTCAACCCCAACCATTCATCCGTCCGTCTAATGTCTGTTCAGGTTCTTCTTAGTGCCAAGCACGGTCCAGGCACTGGCTCTTAGCAAGGAACAGAGAAAGGTCCTTGCCTTCGGGGAGCCCCGGTTAACGGAGAACCCAAAGGAAGAGGTCCATGCGTCTAGCACAGAGCGAAGGGGCTCGGTCAGGGCGAGTCCAGATCTGAGACCCTCAGTTCCTGTGAGAGACCTGGCGACCTGCTCACGAGGCTTCAGGCAACCTCCTTCTCTGCCACCATCTAGCTGGGTGACCCGGGGCCAGTTTCTCCGTGCCCATCAGTCATCTCAATCTACCAGAGGAGATGGTCCTCGGGGGTCCCACCCGCCTCCCAGGATGGTGGCGAGACTCAGGTAAGACTGTGCACACGACTCTTTGGCAAAACGCACAGCTTTGTCTAATTCTCATATTCTGCGGCTCCCCCTTTTCCCAGTCGGGTAACTGAGGGTGACTGTCCATCCCACACGAGCCAGTGTGAGAACAGGGAGGCCCACGTGTGACGCTGGAGCTTGCCGCCCCCCCCCGGGACCCCCCGCCCCCCGCCCCCCGCCGGCCCCGACCTCTCTGGGCAGAGCTGCACAGGGCTGGCCTCTGTGCGTGGCTCGGAGCAGATCCCGGGCTCCCAGACAGAGCCCCTTTCTCCACGCTCTTGCACAAAGCTCACTCACAGAGCCTATTCAGAGGGCTGAGGGATTGAAAGGGCGACCTTTGGGCCTGCCTCAGTGGGCGAGGGAGCTAGGCCGCCCAGCCCTGCTACCCTGAGGGATCGGCCGGGCCCTGATTCTGCACAGACACAGCAAGGAAGGTGCAGAGGGGCCCGAGGACAGGGCTGAGTGCCTGGCCCCTGACCCCTCTGCTCTGCAGGGCTCCCATTCGTTCCCAGAGCCAGTGAATAATTACCACCCACCCGTCGGAGACTGATGAGGTGGGCAGGGAGAGGGTATAGGGCATAGGTGTTTGGAGACTAGCTGAGTTTGTAGCTGAATAAAATGGTTTGGACGGCATGGCTAAAAAGGATAGCGAGTCAGCACAGCTCAGTCACAGCTCTGCCTAATAGAAATTACTGTGAAGATGGAAGCTCCCATATGTACCCGCTCCGCCTGACAGCTGCTAGCCGTACATGGTTATTGAGCACTGAAATGTAGCTGGTGGGACCGAGGAACTGAGCTTTTTGTTTAATTGAATTAATCGAGTGGCCGGGCTAGGGACGTCCCCACTGGTCAGTGCTGGTCTAGTGGAGAGGGGTCACTGAGGCTCTGAAGCCACACAGACCAGGTTCACATCCTGACTGTAACTCACTGCTGTGTGACTGAGGCGTGTTGCTGGGCTTCTCTGACTCAGTTTCCCCATTATTAAATATATGGTTGAATAATGATACTAAGTGAGCCTGGTGGGGACCAGGTTTCTGAGTAGTCTGGCTCCGACCCCAGGGGGCCAGCTCATAGGAGCAGAGATGAGCTGGCACCTGCCTCGGCCAGGACACATCCTCCCCCAGCACGGGTCAGCCTGGGCGCTTCAGCATCTGAGTTTGGGAGGAGGAAACAGATCCAGCCTTCTCCCTCCTAGGTCTGTACTTCACGGAGTGAGGCCTGTGTTGGCGAGCCTGCTGTTCCCCGGGCTGGACCGTGATCAGGTTAAGAGGAAGTTTCCCTCCCTGGTCCCCTGCTGCCAGCTGCTTTCCTCCTAAGCCATTCACCTGTGCCAACTTTTCTTTTTCCTACACTCGCGTCAAAACTTACCAGTCCCACAGGCATCCTGGTAAGACTCTGCTCATTATTTTCCCAAGTGGCAATTGCCTTACCCTGGTCCCAGACACTGATGTCTTCCTAAGATCTGACCCTGGACTTTCCAAGGAGCCCATGGCCACTGCAGGACTCCAGGAGGAGGAGTGTCAAGCAATGTGGAAAAGGAGGGAGGTTCTGGGCCAGGTGGGCAGGTGAGATGGGGTGGGAAGGGCTCCCCAAGCCACTCTCTGAGGGCAGCCTCATTCTCTGCCTTTTCCCATGGGAGCCTCTGAGCCAGCATCCTGGAGACCTCGGGACACTCAGCCCCAGCCAGCCCTGACAGACCTGTCCCCATGGTGCATGGCACAGGGGTTCATTTAGATGACAAGGACCCCTGACCTCCTTCCGCTAGTGACGATGACCGGGCAGGAGAGCTGGCAAATGCCAGGGAGCCAAAAGACACAAAGAGAAATGGCCCTTATGGTGCTAAGAATGGTGAAGTTTGGTTTCCCCATCACCCCTTCATCTCAGGTGTGTCAAGAGAATCTGCTCACCCCTACTTCACAATCCCAATCCCAATCCCTCTACAAAGAGGAGAGGGAAAGAACTCAACTCCATCTACAGAGGGGAAGACAGAGGTCCTGAAAGTCACCTAGAGACTCAGCATTGGCTTTCTCCTTCCCTCCCACCCACCTCCCATAGGGTCACCATCTCTACCACCACCACCACCCTCATCACCATTTACTAGGTATTTATGAAGTGCCCAGTTTTGTGTGGAGCATGCTTTGTTATATTGTTCCATCCTGTGTGAAGTAGGTATCATTATCCCCATTTCACAGATGGAGAAACTGAGGATCAGAGAAATTACTAACTTATCCAGAATCACACATCTCCTTTGAGGAGGGAGAGAAGATGTGAAGCCCAGGCTGGCACTCTCCGCAACACTGCACGAGCCGTCAAGAGAGAGAAGCATGAGGGAGGAAAGCTGGTGGGGTGGTCTCTCCTCCATAATGTGCTACGGAGCCCAGAACAAAGTCTGCTGCCGGTGGATGTGGCCGTGCTGCCTGGGGCGAGTGCGCGCGCAGAGAGCGGAGAGCCGGCAGGAGAAACGCTGCAGAACCAGCTGCAGAAGCAGAAGCCTGCGGAGCTTCTTTCCAGGGCCTTTTCCTCCAGGCCAGCCTGTTCCACTGGAAAAACAACCTCCCCTGCCTGGAGACTTGGGGCCGGTTGGGCCACCTTCTGGTCTGTCTTCATTCAGATCCCATTTCTCCCCTCCCCGGGAGGTGGGGGAGGGAGTCACACTGGGGAGGGCGAGGGTGAGGCTGAAGTCTTCATCTGTCCCCCTTTAAGCCAAGCAAAGAAAAATAGCCCTTTGCCAAGATCTTTCATCTCAGTCATTTACTCTCGCAGATGTTTTCTGCAATATAAACAAGAAGCAAAGAATGTTGGGGAGGAGAGGAGGGCGGGAGGAGAAGGAAGAGTGAATCGACAGCTTTGAAATCTGGGCCTGTGGAGGGCAGGAAGCAGGCCCTCGGCAGGGTCCCTACTGCCCTCAGAGAGTGGGCAACCTCGGGTCACTGCACCGGGCCAAGCGGAGGGTCACTTCCCAGGGTTTCTTTGAAAGGAGGCTCTAGAGAAGTGGTCCCTGGAGTGGGTGGTCTCCTCACACAGCCTCCCTGCTGCCTGGTACCTGACACATGCAAAGCAGCTTCTGGGGCCTCTGGGCTCAACCTGGAGCCAGGCCCTGCTGGGACACACACCTGCCCACCTAGTGCTGCCGGCGCACTGGGCGAGGCCTGGGGGCAGGGATGCTCAGCCTGCTTCCAGCGGTTCTGTCAGCAAGAGCGACAGGAGGCAGGGGGACCTGCCAAGAGAAATGGGATTTGGTTGCGCCAAGAGGAGAAAGAATCTTGGGCTGGATTGGGTTGGAGGAGCACATCGTACAGAGGATAAGGAAATAAATCCAGGAAGTCAGATGTCTCTAAACTCAAAATGCCATAGGATTCCTATTGATGTCAGTAGCTCTTAAACGAAACTCAGATGCCTAAGGGGGCTGGCAGGAACCCAGAGGCGTGAAGCTAGGTGGACTGCCATGGCCCGGAGAAGGTCCGTCTAAAAGAGGGCCAGCCACAGCTCAGTGACAGTCGAACATTTAAGAGAGCCCAGAAATTCAGAGTAAAATCTCCGGGGTTGTTTTTTTTTCTAATATTTGCAGTAGTTTAAAACAAAACAACAACAAACCTCGCTGTCGGCCACATGAGACATGCCTATGGGCAGTTTTAGTTTGTGAATCACGAGTCTGAGTCTTTTGCAGCATGTTGGTTGAATGAGTGAATGAATGAACACTTTTCTGTTTACTCCTCCTTCTCTTGAATAAAAGAGATTTGTGAGAGGAAGGTTGAAAAGAAATCAAGCAGCAAGCTTTTATTGGGTGCCTACTGTCTCCCCAAGATGGAGCTAAACATTGTGATGGATTCAGAAAATCAAATGACCTGGTCCCAGCCCTCGAGGGTTTGCTCTGGGGTTGGGGAGACACAGTGACGCAGGAAAGGAGACCAACCCTGACAGTACTTGCCTGTGTGGTACAGAATGTTCAGGGGATGGGGAGAAACCAGACACCGCCTCCCAGACCTCAGCAAATGGGTGGCATACCCGCTCATTCAGGCTGATGGTGAATTCTAAAACTGGAAGGCTTCTCGCCCCACCCAGTACATTGAGAACCCTACAGAATCAGGACCCAGAAGCACAGAAACAGGAGGCCCTGCCCGCTAAGAAAAAGTGGCTGCCCTACTAGCGCCACCCACCTCCCCACCCCTACTGCCACCAAATTATGGGTAGGGTCTTCAAGGAAAAGTTATGGGCTGGGGGTGGAGAGGGGATGAGCCAAGCACGGGCCATAGAGGAGAGGCTGCCACTTAGGAAGGAGTGATAGGCAGGCCTCGTTCTCAGCAACCTTTGGGAAGGAAAGAGGACAGATTTCACATAAGGGCCCACGAGGTTTCTGGGCACCCATGGTTTCCTGCCTATGTCCGCAGCTTTGAGCTCCTTGCAAGGAAGAGAAGGAAAAGGGAACCAACTTTGGGTTGACCCCAGGCTCCACCCATATTAGCCCCTGTATGTCTCACAACACGCTGCTGGGCAGAAGACAGACAGGGCAGCCGGCTCCCTGAGGACGGGAACAGCGTCTGACCTCTGCTCACCTGCACGGGGCCCACACCCAAGAGCTGAGTGAATTATCTGAAGTCTCCAAGCCAGACATGGCCAAGAGGAGACTCCAACCCAGGTTGGCCTGACCCCAAAGCCCAGGCTCTTTCCATTCCACTGGGGAAACCTGAATTCCCCAAGGTTCTCAAACAGTTACCGGGTGTGCTCCGTCATCAGTGATCACGGCTGATGGATTGTTGGTGGGAAGGAAGTACAGTTTGCAAACATTACTCATGCAGCCGGGCATTTGGATTCACCAGAGATCCTTTGAAACAATACAGGCCTCCTTTTCACTCAGTGCCCCAGTGTCCTCTGCACCAACCCTTGGCTGGCACATCTCTAGGGAGAGAGCCCCACGAGCTCACGCCCCACTCTGACCGCCAGCAGGCTGAGCTCCGATTCGCCTCTCTTTAGGCTTCAGCCGCTGGGCACGGTGCTTGCTTTCAGCACAACACAGACAAGGCACCTTGAAGACCTCTCTCTTGTTGGCTCTTTTATCTGCCGCTCCTTTTCTTTCACACGTTCCTCATGTGATACTCTCTCAGACACCCTCCCCCATCCCCAGGCCTCTCCCCAAATGCAGTACCATTTCTTTGTGCTTCTCCTTTAAAAGTGATTCTCCCTCTGGCCTTCCAGGTGGGACGGACCAGTAAAGGGTCCAGTAAGAGAAATTCCTCCCTGTCCTCAATGCTCTTCTTCAGTTAATGTCACCTTAAATCACACCAGTTTTCTTGGTAAGCATGTAGGTTGATTCATCTCAAGTTGACCATCAACGTAAACCCACAAGTCTTTCACATCCTCCCATCGGAGATTTTGTAGTTCCATTTGCTTTGCCCCAAGGTTCCAGATGTACCTTTCACCCTATTATTTTTCATCATATTATATTTAGCCAGAATTCCTCCAATCTCCCTGTCAGGATTTGGGGAGATTTTAATTCTTTAATCCAAAGTATGAACTACTTTAATCCAAAGTTAGAACTACTTCTAACTACAAGTAGGTAAGCCTGATCTCTGATGGTTCTTCCTAGTCTCTGATGGAACTGTTGAAATGTAAGGGCTATGGGAGAGCTTTGGGACACTGGTGGGACCGTCTGTCCAGGCTGACATTCATCTATCTGTGTTTTAGGGCCAGTCACTCAGCACATCCCCAGCCGCTCTATTTATGCTGTCTTCCAGGCCTCTTTGTGTGCCATAGGTACCTGCTCTGCTGCCTACTGCAATGCCATAAACTCCCAGCTTAGGAATCCCATGGCCTCCCTAAAAGGGCAACTGGTAGACCAACTCTTTTCTTGGTGACTCCATGCTGATTCCCAATGGCCAGCATTTTCTTTCTGAAGTCTTTAGAAGACATTCCTTTACCTGTAGATGAAAGAGATTACCCCTGAATCCCAGAGAAGAAGCTGCCCTCAGACAGCCAGGCTTGTTAGCTCATTGTGCTGGGCATGTCCATCTCTCCTCCAGATCCCCTCTCCGTCCTTCTCCCCCAGCTCTGTGCCCCAGGAGGCTGACTTTGAGGATGGCATCATTGGGTGCCCTTGCCCTCTGGCTTCAGTTGGGTTCAGCAAATGAGAGGCACCAAGAGACAGGAGGGTGGGGCAATGTCAGGGGTATGTATTCCCTTGGTTTCTCTCTACCAGCCCCTACTTGGCTGTGTCCCTCTACTGTCCCTCTACCCAAGACCATAGCTCCATTCAGCTCTCTCCTAAGGCACTTTCTCTCATGCCTCTCTCCCTCTGTCCACACAGGCCCTCACTCCTGCCAGCCCTGGAAGGCTTCACCATGTCTTGTTAGTTTCCTTTAACCTTACTCAACCTGTAAGTCCTCCCATTTCTAAATTCTCCTTAATTAACCCTTTGGAGTGTGCCATCTCTCTCCTGCCAGGATGCGGATGGAAGCACTCCTATTCTGAATCATGTTGCCTAAAGACTTAGGACAACAGGTATGTGGGGGGTTGTGTAGGTGTCGGTGAGAACAGCATAGTGGTTAAGTGCACAGAATTTGTTGTCTAACCAAATGGGGTTGAATTCTATCTCCACCATTTTCTCGTTTTGTGGCTATTTAACTTCGTGAGCCTCTGCTTGCTCTTCTGTAAAATGGGAGCAGTAATCCCTCCTCACAATTTCATTGCAAGGACTTGATGAGATTATATTTGTAAAACACTGAGTTTAGCATCAAATTATAGTGCATCGCTCTATTAATGAGAGCTATCCTAGATTATATTAAGAGAAAATCCATCAACACCCATAGAGAGTGTTGCTTTGGCACTAGGATGAGCTAGCCCATTTGCCACGAGGTTTTACTAGCTATGGCTACAGGGGAATTTGGACCTCAGGTAATCTGCCCACACACTACAGGAGAAAGAAAACATAAACATTTTTGTTGTTGTTATTTTAGTAGCTGGAGAAGCTGTCAGTTCTATTACTTATTTTCAAGAGAAGTTTTAGCAAAGAATACTCTAGGAGGCTGTTTTTTACATTCTATCTGAACCCCTTTCCTATCCCTTATGTG